GTCCCAAGCCAACCGGCATCCCCCCCCTGAGGTTCCCTTGTGAAAAAACACTATGCAGTCACATTTGTTGTTCTAACATAACATTTTTTCGCGAATCCTTTTGCATAAAAAAAACTAAGTGCACACGAGCGCGTCGTCGCGCGCGCATGCCGAAATCCTTCAAAAACCATCGGTGCCGGAAGGATTTCGCAAGCGAGCTTCCAAAAAACATACCAAAACACAGGGCTTCGCAACACTGATTTGCTAAAAAACTTCCGCGCGAGCTCTGGCGAAATCTTAAGAAAACCATAGGTTTTTCCATATTTTCACAACATGCCAAACGGGCGTCGCGCGCGCATGTCGAAATCTGTCGAACGCCCTTGCGCGCGTGCAAAAAAAAGGACGAAGTGCAGACGCGCGCGTCGTCGCGCGCGTATGCCGAAATCCTTCAAAACCAATCGGTGTCGGAAGGATTTCAAAATCATGTGTCCAAAAAACCTACAAAAACCCAATGTTTCGCAACACGGATTTTCAACAAAAGCGTGCGCGCGCTCTTGCGTCGTCGTCGTCGTCGTCGCCGTCCTCCCACCTCCCGCGTCGTCGTCGTCGTCGTCGCCTACGTCGTCCTCTGTCTTTCCTCGTGTTCGTCGTCGTCGTCCTCTTTGGCGTCGTGGTCGTTTCCGTCGTCGTTGTCGCCGTGGTCGTCCTTCCTCCTCCTCCCTCGTCGTCGTCGTCGTCCGTCGTCGGCGTCTCGTCGTCGCCCTCCTATTTCGTCGCCGTCGTCGTCGTCGTCGTCGTTGTCGTCGTCGTCTTCCCTCCACCCTCGTCGTTGTCGTCGTCGGCGTCGCCGTCCTTCCTCCTTCTTCGTCGTTCGCGTCGTCGCCGTCCTCCCTCCTCCCTCGTCGTTGTCGTCGTTGTCGTCGGTGTCGCCGTCGTCGTCCTCCCTCCTCCCTCGTCGTCTTCTTCGTTGGCGACGTCGTTGTCGTCGTCGTCGTCGTCCGTCGTCGTCGTCGTCGGCGTCGTCGTCGGCGTTGTCGTCGTCGTTGTCATCGTCGTCGTCGTCGGCGTCGTCGTCGATGTCGTCGTCGTCGTCGCTGTCGTCGTCGATGTCGTTGGAGACGTCGTCGGTGTCGTCGTCGTCGGTGTCGGCGGCGCCGTCGTCGTCGTTGTCGCTGTCATCGTCGGCGTCGCTGTCGTGGCCAAGTGCCATCTGGTACCTACCGCCACGGTCTTGTCTTAAGAGGTCTTGCGACCAAGTTGCGGGTGGGAGGGTGGGATGTTTGCACGAGCAGTGGAGAGGACAGCTTCAAGACGGTCAAAATGGATTGCACCACATAGACTCTCTTTTCTTTTTTAAAGAAATAGTTTCTACCACCCTCCCACCCTGGACATATCGACTCCCCGGGAACCGATGCAAAACACATATGATTCTGACCCACTGTCCATCCTACCTGTGAATTCACACTCTCCCAGCCAGGCCGGTATCGGTCCCCCTGCGGTCCCCTTGCAAACAATACTGTACGGTGGCATTTGTTGCTCTAACATAACACTTGTTCACGAACCCCTTGTAAAAATACAATGCGGGGCACACGCGCGCGGCCGCTGCGCGCGCATGTCGGAATCTTTCCAAACACACGGCTTTTAAACAATTTCAACATCACGCTTCAAGAAAACAAACAAAACACATACGACTTTCTCACCCAGAAATTCGGACAAATCTGCTAGCGCGCTCTTGCCGAATCCTTCAAGAATCAATGGTTTTTCAACATTCCTGTCAAATCGGGCTTCTTGGGCAACTATTGCGCGCACGTCGATCTCATTCAACATCGGTCGCGCGCCTGCCAGGGCCACAACCCCTTGTAAAAATACCATGCGGGGCACATGCGCGCGGCCGCCGCTCGCGCATGTCGAAATCCTTCCAAACACACTGTGGTTTCGACCATTTCAAGAACGAGCTTCATGAAACCACACGAATCGTACAATACTTCCTCGAAGAAAAATCTGCACAAAAAAATGTCTACTCGCGCGCTTCCTAACCCTAAAAAACCAACTGTTGTTCGATACGTCGGTCATGCTTACAACTTTTGCGCGCGCGTCGAACTCCTTTAACATCGGTCACGCGCTTGCCAGGACTGCAATCCCTTGTAACAAAGAAAAAGAAGCATGCGGGGCACATGCGCGCGGCCGCCGGGCGCGCATGCCGAAATCCTTCTCGTCGTCGTCGTTTTCGGCGGCGCCGTCGTCGTCGTCGTCGTCGTCGTCGTTGGCGTCGTCGTCGCCGTCGTCGTCGTCGTCGTTCCCGTCGTCGTTCTCCCTCCTCCCTCGTCGTCGTCGTCGTCGTCGCCGTTGGCGTCGTCATCGTCGTCGTCGTCGGCGTCGGCGTCATCGTCGTCGTCGGTGTCGTCGTCGTCGTCGTTGTCGTAGTCGAAGTCGTCGGAGTCGTCGTCGATGTCGTCGTAGTCGTCGTCGGCGTTGTTGTCGCTGTCGTCGTCGGCGTCGGTGTCGTTGCCAAGTGCCATTTGGTATCTACCGTGACGGTCTTAAGAGGTCTTGCGACCAAGTTGCGGGTGGGAGGGTGAGATGTTTGCACGAGCAGTGGAGAGAACAGCTTCACGACAATCAAAGTGAATTTAACCACATGGATTGTACCACATGTACTGGGCCACATATATAACACCACCCAGAAAAATGCTAGAACACACACAGACACACACACACACACGCACACACACACACTGTTTGGGGTCCACGGTGGCTAACAAGTTGTATGGTTTCGCGATGCCGTTGTTTGTCTTCAGAGCGTCAAATACGGCCCAAGAGGCGTCCAAGATCGCCCCAACACAGCCCAAGAGCTCCCAAGCAAGAGGGGCCCAAGAGGCCCTCAAGAGGGCCCAAAGAGGGGCCCAAGATGGGGAACACGAACTGACAGTTTGAGCCCTCCGCCCAAAGATGGTTCCAAGATCCCCTCGTACGCCCAAGAGGCCCCAAGAGGCCCCGCCGAGGGCCCAAGAGGTCAAAATCAGGCCCCAAGAGGCCCTCAAAACCGCCTCCACAAGGCATCCGTGCGGCCTCCCAAGAGGTCCTCACAGGCATCCAGGAGGCCTCTGACCTACAACCCAGCCACGGTGGCGGGGTGGCCAAAAACCATTCGATCCACCGCCCCATGCAGTCTTGCCACAGGGGTGCATGGCGTGCGAAGTGCCTGGCAGGTGTCGGGTTCGTTTCTAACGAACTCCCTGTCGGGCCACCCAGAAACCGCACCTCCCGTCAGTGTCGGCTCCTGGGTGACCTCCAAGACGACCAAGATGGCCCAAGATGGCCTCCGAGATGGAAAAGAGACGCTTCCACTACGGCCAGGATGGCCCCAAGAGGGCCCAAGATGGCGTCAAGCTTTCCTCAAGACGGCCCAAGCTGCACCCAAGACGGCTTAAGATGGCCTCAAGATGGCCCAAGACGGTCCAAGAAGGCCCCAAGAGGCCCCCAAGGCTGCCCAAGAGGCCTACAAGAGGATCGACGGGAAGGCCCGAAACAAACGAAATCATTGATGCCCAGTCGGTGTTTAACAGATGCTGGTGTTTGCTCCGATTCGCGAATCCGACGGCCCAAGACGGCCCAAGAGGCCATCTAGATCGCCCCAAGAACGCCCAAGAGGCTCAGAATATGGCCCCAGGACGACCCAAGAGGCCCCCCCGACGGCACCAAGCGGGCCCTAAGACGGCCCAAGGTGCTTCCAAGCCGCCCACGATGGCCCTCATGACGACCCTGAAGCGCCCCAGAGGGCCCACGACGGCCCAGAGAGGCTCCCAAGACGGCTCCCGACGGCGTCGGACGGGCCAGGAGCGCAGCGGTAAGGCAGCCAAATCAGCCCCTAAGAAGCGCCAACAGGCCCTCAAGAGGCCCAAAGGTGGCCCCCAATAGGCGGGCAAGAGGCTCCTGGGAAGCTCCCAGGAGGCCCCAAGAATGATTCAAGAAGCTCCAAGGAGGTTTCCGCATCCTTCTCCTCATCGTCCTATTTCCTCCCTCTCCGTATCCTCCTTTTCCTCCCCAACGTGTTCACCGAAGGGCTTCCACAACGGCTGGGGGGACGCATGGTCCGACAGCGCAGCCAACGTTTACCCACAGGTTTGGCCAAGCATAGGCGTACCCTTGTAGGCAGGAAGCGGCGGTAATTCGCCATAGGTGTCTTCGAGACTCTCTTATACTTTACTCGACTCTACTCTGCTCTGCCCTGGGTTGCTCTTCTCTACCGACCAGGCCCTGCTCTACCATCTACCCTACTCTATTATACCCTGCTCTACTCGATCCTACCCTACCCTGCCCGATCCGAACCTAGTATACTCTACTCTACTCTACTGGATTGCCTCTGTACGTTACTCTACTCTACCCCATGGTCTGCTCCACCCTACTCGTCTCTGTC